CAATCTTCTCTCTCTCAAAACAAACAAACAAAAATTAATCAAAATTTATCCTGCAAATCTCCAATCTTCTTTCTCTCTCTCTCTCTCTCTCTCTCTCTCTTACCACACACATTTAATAATTAATATTGCCCTCTTTCCCCATTTATTAATTCAGCTATTAAGCTTTTACACTCAATTGCATGGATTAGGCTTTATTAAAAAAAAGTAGATTTTTTAGTAAGTAATTATGGGCTAGGCCAATGGGGCTCAGGCCCCTAATGATCCCACTACAGATCTTCTCATGTTCACAATTTTAGATAAGTTTTCTTGCCTTATGGAACCGAATTTTTTATCATAATATGATTCAGTAGGGAAAAAAACTTGGATGAGAACATCTTGAGCTAAATTCAGCTTGAAACACATTGACAACTTCAAATGAAAGTTCCCTGTTTACCATCAATTATTGAAGCCAACAAATTATTTGCTTATTTGATTGCTCCATCTTGGTATTGGGTGCAGATAATAGCTGCTGACCCTGAGAACAAGACTGAGACCTGGATGAGCAACGAATTTTTTATTAGGTGCGGACACCGAACTTAGTCCAAAGCCCAATGAAGATGCGCCACGTCATTCATACTCGGTACCGCGGCTTGGTACTGCTCGATACTGGATGATATGGCTGCACCTGATTGGCCTCTGGAAGGTAAGCTGTGTCAGGTATCTGCACAGAATAATCTCTCTCAAAAGTGAGGTAAGTTGGTTTGAGAATACTTGTACTTGTATTGCCCCCACTTTACAAAATGTGCGTGAGGGGTTCAATTCCCACCTTGTGTGATTTACAAAAGAGAGAGAGAAAAAAGAGAGAGAGAGAGAGAGGGAACTCAACTGTTTCAACTCTTGGAGCAAAGCTCATGCTGTAAGCTACCCCACTGAAATGACATGTGAAGAGTAAGTTGCTTTGTTCATACACTACAGGAAAAACGCTGAAAACCGGCGGTTTTTTCTGGCGGTTAGTGTAAAATTACCGGCGGTTGTTTACATTACCGGCGGTCTAACGGCGGTTAACACCGGTAAAAACGGCGTAGGAAACCAATTCCGACGGCTTTTTACCGGCGGTTTATTTTGGCGGCGGTTTTCCGGCGGCCCCTACCGCCGGTGACCACCGGAATTTTAACCGTCGGTCTTTCGGCGGTTCGGCCGCCGGTAATGTAACCGCCGGAAAACCGCCGGTCAAAGTACCGGCGGTGTTCCGACGGTTAAACCTGGCGTCGTCTGGTTCATTAGACCGCCGGACGGCGCCGTTAGACCGCCGGTACCTTACCGGCGGTTGACGGCGGTTATAGCCGTCGGTAATACCGACGGCCTATAAACCGCCGGTTCAAACTGCCGGTATAGGCCATTTTTCCTGTAGTGATATTGCAATGGAGCAGAAGTGATTATGATCTCCAAGTGATCTTACAAACTCTTCTGCTCTTTTTCTCTTTCCTCTTCTGCTCTTTTCTCTTCTTTATGGTGCTTTCGATAAGCCTGATATTCTCAATATCCTCATGATGCTTAGGGGAGCGCAGACCACAGTGATTATGATCTCCAAGTGATCTTTTTAATTTGATCCATAATTCATGCCAATTTTTAATTTTCTTTTTCTTACGAACAAATAAAGAGAAACTCGCCCAAAACCACCAAGGGAAGCAACCATTAATGAAAAACGAGAAAGAAAACTATTAGCCTACCTCATCGTGCCGCAGTGTGAAGTTTGGAGGGCCGTGGCGCTCCACTTTGTGTCTCATGTCTGCTTGACAGCGATGCAGCGCCGGGGTGTGGAGCTCAACAATGCTCCGCTCTCTATCTATCTCCAAACAAATTATACATCACCACAACACTCGAGTACACAACATCGCGGCGTTGTATGTAAAGGCCCAAAAAACAAGTAACATATTATTGAACTTCGGACAACACAAGAGAATTGTTAAAAAAAATCATATGAATTCTCATTTCCCTTCCATCTTAAAGCTCAGTTTTTAACAGAATTTTTATGAATTCTTCAGTAACCTTCCAACAATAGAAACAACTAAACAAGCTTCAGAAGAAGAGAGGTACTGTAGCATAGATAGCAGGCCTTCTATTAGAAAATAGCATCGCTGCAATAAGTAATGCTGAGAACCAAATGCTGCAAATCAGTATAAAAAACAAAAGGAATTTCTCAACATAGCAAACTTGGTAAATGATTGATACAAATTACATCTGAAAGCATCGCATATCATGATTACTTCTCCCAACAGAAATTTCATCTCCAGAAGAAGAAACATGACAACATAGAACATTAGATGAAGGACAAATACGAGAAGAATGGAGATCACCTGATCTATTACTAGAAGGAACTCTGGCTTTGTATAATTATATAACTGTTTTGTTGCAGATGAACCAGATAGAACTGAAAGTTCTTAGACCTTGATCCAACCAGAAGCGTCCTGCTTATCTGCCAGAGTCCTCGAAGCAATCAAGTTGTCCAACATACAAATGGATGCTTCCTCATGCATAGTATGTGAAAGATTGGTTGTCATAGTATAGGTATTGTTGATTCCAGGCAAGGTTTCAGTCAAAATCAAAAGAGGATATTTGAACTTTTGAGAAAATCTTTGCAGTATGACCTCATGTCTATTCTTAATCTTCACCTCTGTTTTCGCCTTTGTCTTCAAATGAACAGCTTTGTAGTTCCCATCATTCTGATAATCTACCAAACTCTTGATGCATAAGTAGAAAGACAGGTATATAATTAATTAATACATTTTTTACTTACGTACTCCAGAATTGAATGAGCTATACCTTCTTTGCCTCCACATATAGACCCATGCCCGCCTTCAAGAGAATATCATAAAAGATAGAGATGTGAGGGTCAATATTTGCCTTCATTGTATCAAGTGGATGCATTATTGAAGTAGACATGGCACATGAGAGGCCTCCAGCAAAAGCAGACTTAAAAACATTTTAAGTTGCCAATTCCACCGGTGGGGAAACAGGAAAAACAGTAGCAGATTCGAACCATATACTCCAGTACATGATATTGAAAGTGATAAGCATACTTTGAAGGTAAACTCAAATTAACTGGCATTTTAACAAAGGATATAACGGCAGTAGCTTTCATGAAATAATAAAACAATTTTAACAAATGAATCCCAACACAAACAATCTCTTCACATCAAATTATTTCGAATAACTTATCACAACTTTAGCCCTTCCTAAAAAAATATAGCATTAAGTTTAATTTTCTTTCTATGTTTTAAGAGAAAAAAAGAAAAAAAAACTTAAAAGCATATGAAACTTGTGTTCTTTCTTAGCATGAACTATGCAACTTCATATTGAATCAGTTATACTTGTGATTGGAACATAAAACAAATAAAGTCACGTAATGTAACTACAAGCTTCTACATTTATATGACGTCAAGTATGCCGGCGGACCTTAAAATTCTAGAATATACATACGAATATCACACAAACATTGCTAATGAACTATGTATTCGATCATACGACTTGTTAAAACATGAAGAAATACCCATAGCTTCTATTAGGGGTGTCAATTCGGGGTCAACGGGTCGGGTTCGGGTCGATCTCGAAACTGATCTGGCACTATTCGGGTCAAACCGAACCCGACCCGTTTTGCTAGTTTTCGAGTCAAAATCAGGTCAATCTTTGATTTTCGGGTCAAAAACGGGTCCATCTCGATTTTCGGGTCAAATTTGAGTTTTCGTGTCACTTTCGGGTCAATATCGGGTTGCTGGGTAAACCCGAACTGATTTTTAAAACGGGTTGATTTGTTGAACCCGAATCCGACCCGTTTCGATTTGGGTTGACCCGAACCCGAATTTTTCCAGGTCAGGTTCGGGTCGTGTCAAAAATTGACACCCCTAACTTCTATATTACAAGTTTGTGTAGCTACTATAAGAATCTTATGAATAAGTGTATCTTTCGAAGTTCGGTATAAAACTGAACAAATTTTGCTCACAATTATTCAAGAGATATAGCACTAACTCACAATAGTCAAACACAACATTATCTTAAAAAGGTTCTAACATGTTAAAGAGTATCATTTTGTCATGAACAATGACAAGAAAGACAAATCGAATATATTAGAGGCTTTCCAAATAATCATAAAATGATTTGCCAATGAATTCTCACATGAATAAGTATAAGCTCTCTATTTTCCTTTTTTTTTTTAACTAGCAGATTTTTAGAAACATAGATACTGTGAAATACGAATGTGCTCACTCACAATCTTTAGCATAGTCAAAGCTTGTATTATTTCATGGCGGACATTGGTATAAACATGTCCCAAACATTTGGCAAAAGATGGCATTCCATCACATAGATGACACGCAACACTTATATGAAATAAATAGACGTGAAGATCATGCTTTACAATCACACATAATCATAAAAGATAAGAAAAACTATCCACATATTTGATCAAGATCATCAAAACACAACCTATTTTGCAGTTTATCCAAATAACAATGCATCAAATGAACTAATAAACCATTGGGCACATTTCAACACCACACTACTTATGATAAGGAGCCATCAACAGGAAATCTTTGAGAGAAAGGAGAAAGAAAATTAAAGCTAATTTCAGCTCTATGAGAGAACCTCAACTCATCATGCTTTGTTAATGAGTGGCTATGAAATTACAGTAGCATTCATGGAAGCTACAAAATCCATATTATTGCCTACTCCATCTCAAGATCTCTAGAAGAGGAGGGGACAATACCTTTACAGTGAAGCGTGGTTGCCACTGTGGTTGGCCGAGCAGGTTGGAGGCCTGGAGGTTCTCAAGAGAAGGAACTCTGGCTTCTCTAGGGCCGGCCGAACAGGGATGATCGGGAGCTAGCAAGGCCTAGGTTAGGCAAGTCGACAGGTTTCGGGTGAGGTGAGAGAAGAGAAGGCGGAGGAGCTTTGAAATTTAGTCCCACACCGTGTGATTTTTCTGATCCTTATCATAAATAAGCAATCAGGCGAATAGCTTGGCGGTATTTGTAGAGAGGAGAGCTGGTTGGCATCTCCCCAGACAGGGACGAGAATGACTGTCGGGCTTGTCTTTACACGCGGGGTTAAGGCTTTCTGCTTCGGTAGACCTTATCCAAAATTTTTTTTACCTAATAATAGTTTTATTGCAATTTTAACCTTACCCAAAATTTTTTTTACCTAATAATAGTTGTATTGCAATTTTAATTAATTTTTTTAATAAAAATATTATATTATTATTTTTATGTCCTTTGTCCCTATAAGTAATTCCAATTATATTTGTGAGAAATTTTTTTATTAAAAATATAAAAATACATTTAGAATAATGTGATAAAACAACCAATTCATTCTTAGAAGAAAAAAATCAATTTAATAGCATCCAACATTCAAAAAATACAGGATTTTGAATTTAATATATTAAATTATTAATACAGAACGGTTAATTAATAAAATTCATTGCTGAAAAATAATTCTGATAATGACCGTTTAAGTATTGATTTAGGAAAGAAATACAACATAGCTTACAACAGTTACATATAAATTGATCTTCTTTCTCTGTGATTTCTCTTAATTTTTTGCCCTTCTATTATGGTGATCATCTTATATGAAATCAAAGAGGGTATCACTTTCACTTAAGTTCACACGACCACATCTTCCATGACTTCTCCTAGAACCCACCCTTGTGATAACTTCGCTGAGATAAATAATTCATTCGACTTTGCATCTACTTTCGATCAGTGGCAGATAAAATAAATTATTAGAAGAACAAATTAGTTAAGAGGAATGGCAGACGTATTGCGCATAGTATAGGATTTTCAGAGTGGAGTTGAAGAGAATATGTTGCATTCAACACTTTTTTGCCGATTTACGGTATTTAGCCGAACAAGCGCACGAAATGGGTGAAAAATCGTTACCTTCACAGCGAGCAAGCTCTCGTCTTTACTTTTGATTAACGTCGTCGAACTGTCGTGACATCCAATTTGATAGGAAGGGAACTTCGTCCAATGAAACTAAGAAGCTAGCGACTCATTTAAAACTCTACCTCGCGTAAACCAGGTGACATCGAACAACAACGAAGAAATGGAGTAGAGGAAAAGCAAAGTCTAAACAACATTAATTTCACAAATAAGCATACAAAAGGGGTGAAATATCGTTACCTTCGCAACGAAAGTCAAACAACAATGAAGAGATGAAGAAGACATAAAGCAAAACTCAGTCGACGAAGGTGAAGTCAATTAGCGACTTTGTGTGCATCCACCTTATATTTAAAAAGTCATAAATGCGTATTTAAGATTCTTAAAAGGCATAATTGTACTATTTTTTATGGCAAGTCTTCATTGGGTCATATTTTGTAATTTATGCATTCTTTTTAAATGCAATTCTTCCTATAGAACTATGTACCTTACCCCATAAATAAATAGGGGTCAAATGGCATGCTTAGTGTACAGCTTATGGCTGTTAAGCCATACATGCTCCACTACCAACTACAGGCATTCGGTTATTCACCTCCTGCTGTGTCTGGACCGTAGCAGCTCACAGAGCATTTCTCCACTTACTTACATCATTGTACTATATGTTAAAGCACTGTTCTCTGTAACAAATTGTCTACTCTCAACTCTTTATATACCATGTAAACAATACTATCAAGTATGGAAGATTTGCTCTATTACTCTCATTTTCTTCAGCTGTGCCTCTTCCAAACTCTTTCATGGTATCAGAGCCCGCATAGCCTCACGGCAACATTCCTCCATGGTCGATTCTGGGAGCACATCTGACAACGCCCAGGGCAACTCTTCTCATCAGATTCCGGTAACCATAGAAACCCCCATTTTTTGATGTTATAGTTTAAGGCTTCAAGCACCGATCTTTAGTATCAATATTCATGTTTCAATCGTTAGCTAATGCCTAATGGCAGGCATCATTTTCATCTTCATTAGATCAATATTCATTTAGAAAGATCCATTTGACTTGATCTTTAGATATTAAGGAAGGAACATATATCTTGGCGTGGAAACCTCGGAACCTGCAAGAGAAAAGAACAGAACACAAGGGAAAAATTGGATAAACCAAGGAGCAGAGCTCCAAACGACGGTAGTATTGATAGTATCGTTCAATGTGTCTTCTTCTCCCAGCTAATAACAAAATATACCTCCTAAAAGTGCTGCATGACTAAAAACGGAAAAACCAGAAAAAAGGAGAAACAACTGTACTATAGCCTTTAGTTAGTTAAAACTGCTGCAGCAACGGGGTAGTGGGAGTATAACCAAAACCATGTGGGTAGTAAAGTGATCTTGCGGAACAAAAAGGCCACAGCAATTGTGAGCCCACATCATATCTGCAGTGACTAGTGAAAACATAATTAATTTTTTAAGAAGAAATACAAATAGTAAGCTGTAAGCCCAGGCAAAATTCGAAAAGCAGGAAAATTTTCATGTCCTTCCAGACTTTAAGTTTCACCAATGTAGCATCAGCTACATATCTATTTGATTTTTTCAATTTATATATAAAAATAAGTTCGTTGAACTCAACTTGAATTCCAACTAGAACAAAGCCAAAATCAAATGTCTGAAGTTTTAGTTGAGGTTGTCTCACTCGACCTAAACTGGTGTCACCTTAGCTTGATGGTGTATAAATTTGCTTGTAAAAATAACTTCCCATAAGAGAATTCTTGATCACGCTGTCAGATTTTTCAGATATGGATCTCATCATACTAGATAATTAAATTGAAAATTTTATTGTTGACATGAGATCGAATGATGCATTTATGAATTTAAAAGGACTTGGATAACTTGCTTAGAAAATGATGAAGACTAGGAAGAATGGTATTTTTCTTTTGGTGTTCTTACTTATAAAGCTTGCTTTGATATTGTCAATTGCTACAACAACAATTGAACGAACATTTTCTACAATGAACATTATAAAAAATCATTTATGCAATCGTATGAGACTCTGGGATGAATGACTGTTACTTATGTTAAAAATGATATATTTAATAGTATTGACAATAACTTGATTGTACAACGATTTCAAAAAAATGAAGATTTGACAGGAGAAATTATAGATGATAGATAAGAAGAATATCAAGATTTAGTTTTCTCAATTGTAAGTTTTTTTTTATTTATCATATATTTTATCTTTTTATAATGAATCTAATGATTAAAAAAATTAAAACCAACTATATCGATCCCAAGCCCGAATGAAAAAGGTTGAGATTTTTTTTTTACTTTAATGATTTGTGCCTCCACATGAAAAAAATCCTAGCTCCGCCCCTGTTCATTCCCCCGAATAGGATTGGATTAATAAATTAAGTGAAATCCTAGTACAACCCTTTTGAAGGAGAGATTATTGGGTTCGGATACCGGACACGGCTTACGTTCAGTACTTCACGGTACCAAGCTGTACCGAATTCGGTATCGAGCAGTACCAAGCTCAGTGAAAGAACCGGTAACAGAGAGAAAAGTAGGAGGAGAAGAAAGACAAGGATAATTAGGAGAAAAGAAGAATGTGATCTTATTATTCATTGACGATGTACATGATACATTTATAGAAATAGGAAAGGTGACAGCTGATTTAATATTACAAAGAAGCCTAGAAACTGACGTGTCACACCAGCAAACATGATGTGAGAAATAAGATCACATTCTTTTGTGGCGAGGATCTCAAATGCATGTTAGGTTGTCAAGATAGAGAATAAGAAGATCAATTTTATACTCAGTACCTAACAGTATTGAGCTTGGTACTGAGTAGGAGATGATGTGGAGCATTTTCATTGGGCTCCGGACGACGTCCGGTGTCCGAACCCAATAATTTCCCCTTTTGAAGGCAGCGAATCATTCCCAAGCTCTTTTTGAGACAGTTTTCTTACTATTTTTAAAAAAAAAAAATTTACATAAAAAAATGTTTATTTAAGAATTTTTTTAACTAAAGGACTACTTTAATTAGAAAATAATTTGAAAGTTGTTCCAAATGAAATCTAAGATGATGCTTTCAAGCATATTGAATTCTTTGAAATCCTTGAAGAAGAGAGTCTATCATTTATGCTTGGTTGAAATATGAAGGCATATTTTTTTTCACAAAAAATGCTATGCTCCTTAAGAAAATACATAATATGATGAAAATAATAATGGAACAAAAGATAATATAGAGAAAATGGCAAAAGAGTAAATATATTTTTTATGTAAATAATTTTTTTTTTTCATAGGAGATAATTGAAACTAAAATTTCAAGAAAAATGCCTTAGTAGATTGATATTAATTTGAGAATAGGTAGATAAAAGAAGAGTATTGTGATAGAACATCATTCATCATAAGTGATAAACTCTTTTGAAATTATTATGTCTCTAAAAAAATCAAGCCTATCATTTATGCTAGCATTTAGAAGTTTCACCGTATGTCAGCTTGTAGACGAGTCAAATCGGTTCATGAATTAGCTCGAGTTTGACTCATTAACAAGCTCATGAGTCATATTTATCGAGCCAAGAACTCAAATTGGAGCTAAGATTAATGTTCATATGTTATAAGAGCTCAAATTCGAGCTTGACAGCTTAGCTAAAAAGCTCGTTGAGCTGCTCGATTATAGGCTGATTTTTATAAAAAGATATTAATTAACATTTAATTAAGGAAAGGGGCATAATTAAAATTTATTTAGATCAAGAAGCAAATACGGGAATCTATTTAACATATTCTTGAATTCTAAAAATAATTTTTTAGTATTCATGAATACGTCTAAGGTTTTGTTTAAGACACTTTTCTTCTTGCTTCTCAAAATAACTTTTTAGCTAAAGAATTTATGGTTGAAGAAATTTTTATATTAAAAAAGTTGTTTTAGAAAGCAGTAAGAAAGCAGTTTTGGGGCAGCTTTTGTGATGCTTTTTAGAACGACTTTATAGTGCAAAAATTTCTAATTCACTAACTTTTTCTACTAAGGCTTCCTTTGGGATTTTTTTTATGCTTCTTAAATCAATTTCTTATATAAAAATTTTAATTTTTTACTAAAAATTTATTTTAAAAAAAGTTGTCAAAAAAGAGAAAAATTATTAGGTGCGGAGTGCGCACCGTCTGCACAAATACTGGGTACCTAGCGGTACCCAATGATATCGAGTATGAGTTCCACTAGGTACCAAATACT